CCTGTTTGCCTGTATTAACTAGTAGGACTATCCTCAGATAACAAGTTAACCTTTGTAAATACCTTTGTACCTTCAATTTTGAGTAATTGTATGGCTGCGATTCTGTAAGTACATAAAAAAGGACTTCACTGGGAAAGTTCAGTTCTGTATTGAGTATTGCTCATAAAGAAAAAAGCTGTGAGGGTCCTTTTGCCCTTTTTGCACTGGAGAGGTCAGACTAAGCTGAGGTATTTGACTTCACAGTTTTCTTTCATCAGTAATAAAGGCCTTGTTTGTCAGGTGTTGCTTTTATCTGTACAATGTCAGTTCTTTGACCCAATGCAGCATAAAGCTAGTAATTTTTTTAGTAGCTATGCTCCTGACAAGAGAGTCTAGTTGACCATTCTTGTGTTTTTTTCCAAAGGCCAATTGTGGAAAATGCAGTAGAAAATATTTTTCACTGATGTGAACAAATGTGTGTTGAGACAAATACAAAAAATAGATGCAATGACTAAAATTCTGTGTTTGTAATCTATTCTTGTAGAGTAGAATTTTGATTGTAAGGAGGTACATCTGTACTATATGTGAATTTTATGAGTGCTCAAGCTGTTTTTTCATTATGTTGGATAAATTATCCATATATTTCTCATTAGTGTAATTAATAGTTTACTCTGTGTTTGATGTGCAACAAACTGATATCAATGGTTGTGTTTATTTTTTAAATTCGGGGAGATTGAGAACAGTTTAATATAGTGGAAAGCTGGTTTTCTTTTTAGAATAAGGGACAATATCCTTGACAGGTGTTTCCTATTTTTTTTTGTAATTAATACTGTTTGTAGCACTCTTGAGTTTTTCAGGCCTCTCTTTCTGACACAAGGAGTTCATATATAGTGCTGTTACCTGTTTTCTTTGATGTCTTGTGCCTGGGCTATAGTTTGCTCACCCATCTTTAAGAGCCGTGCTGCATCCATGCTGTTGCTCATGCTGTTAGGGTTTCTGATTTCCTCCCCCTTCTTACAGGTGAGTTTTCCAGAACAAGAGCTGCCTTTAGATGTTTTGAAAATACCCTCTGCCTTGTAAAACAGCCTGTAAAAACAGTCTGGGTGCAACTCCAGTGTTTATCCAACTGGAAAAGTAATTTTAAAATGCTTAATCTCTATGTCGATGGACCTCGATGCAATATAACTTAGGGAAATACAGGAGTCAGCACTTAGACTGATCCTAAGCTAATTAAAGTTGAAGGACAGGTTCCCTTTGATTTCAAAGGACTTTGAATCAGCAAAATCATAGTGAGCTTTTGTTATTTGTGACCCTTGTGAAATAAACTGACTAAAATTTAAGGTGTTAAATAGCTTTATCGGTTTTGAAAATTTTAACTGAATTTGTTTAAACTTACAAGGATTAAGGACACATAGTAATTGTGTATGAAGATCTTAATGCCTTACTTTTTTAATTTCCAAGAAACTAAGAGTCTGGGAAATTGAAGGAAGTGGAAGGGCTTTTGAGAATGTTAGCCATTGGCAGTGTAAGACCTCTGAATTTTGGTGACTGTGAGTGCAGCTGAGTTGCTGCTTTGGAATCAAAGTGCTTTCATGTCTGTCTGCAGTACAGCCTGGGTGTTGTGAACATATGTATGTGCTAAAAGAGAAGTGCTGTCCTTCAGGCATCGTGGGAAGGAATGGTGTGAATCAGAGAAAGAGAACCAAAACACACATATTTAAATTTAGTCTTACCTGGATCATTTAAAAAAATTGAGTTTGTTTTCAGAACTGTATTATAAAGATCAGTTTTAAAAGATGGTGGGTTCAAGACAGGGGTTTAATACTAGTGAAGTGAACTGAGTTAATGACAGTGAATGTTGGAAAGTAGAAAAGGTAGATTTTAGCATTGTTTTCAAGAATTAACTTATATTCCTTGTAAAGACAAAAAGAACAGTTTTTCAGGGTTAGACTGCAGGTTGTTTGTAAGAAGCAGCAGTTCCTTTAATACAGTTTTGCTTCTTTTATTTCATATCAGTATAAGGATTGAACAAATATGTCTCTGCCAGCTTTTGTAGGTTGTATCAGATAGTGTCATATCAGATTGCTTGTCCTCATTCTGTCTGCAGAGACTAGAATTTGCATTAGTTGCATTCAAGTGTATGCATCTATCTACTGTGACATCTGAAATACTTGATTTGGGTATGACTTACTCAGAGTAGAGAAATTTGCAGAATAGAATAGTCAAGCCTGTGGGCTCTGTTCTAAAGCTAAATATAGAAATAACTGTATTCTTTTCACAGTCATTAAGAATTTGAGAAAACCTTGCTTCTACATGTATATTACTAATCAAGTAACTCCATTTTGGATTTAAACTAGATTTACTGTTAAGGGGAGATAAGAAGTATGCATCTGCTATTAAGTGGTGAAAATGAGTATCAGACAATTTGGACTTTTCTGTGAAAGTACTGTCATTTTAGAGAGCCAGTGTTAGTTTTGGATTGTACGGATCATATTTTCAAAGCTTTGTTCACTGATGTCTTGTCTTAAACTTCCAAGAATGAGCAGGTTCTGCAACTTTGGCCATGAGAGTAAAGAAGTTGAAAAGAGAACATTTCTAAGTGCTAGATACTAGTCAATACTTTCTTTTTTTTTTGTCTTTTCTTCTTTACAATTCTGAACTAGCAAGAATACTGGTGCCTTAAGGGAGAAAAATTTTTCATATCAGTGAGCATCTTTTCCTTTAAAAAGCTGACATACATTTCAATAGAAGAGAACATTCTGGAACATTCTGTCACATGTGGATTCCCACTCCTCATTCCTTTTCACTGTTAAATTATTTGAAAATCAAGCCATTAATTAATTCTGAATGTTAGCAAAAATTTCATTACTCCATGAAACCCTGCCATAACAGGAGAGGTGTTGTAGTTATAATAAACAAAATACTTTGGGATTTTTTAATTAGCTTGAGATTTAAAATGTTTCCTGGATTTTCTAATCCATATATCTGTTCATTTATATGTAATATTCTTCAGCAGTAGACCTTCTTTTTGATTAAAAAATTGTGTAGGTTTAAGTATTTGCAGGATCAAAAGCCAGGAATAGCATGTTTCCCTTTAAAGGCACCTGTTTTTTCAGTTGCTGCCCAAGTGGAAAATTGGAAAGAAATTGTTGTGCTGTCAAATAGCCTTAGGGCATTACATAGCTAAAAATTGCATGTATCCTTTTTTGAGAATAATACAGATAGGAATATGCAGGTTTCAAAAAACATCATGGGACAATTGAGTAAAACTACACATAAATGATGTGTCCTTCAATTTTTTTTTACAAAATTGGCCTTTTTAGAGAAACATGGGCATTTATTTTGAAAAAGTTTGAATGCAGAAATAAAACACTTTCAAGTAAGATCTTTGTAGCCTGGTCCTGAACAGGAAAAATAAATGTTCCTTTTGGATTGCTATCTGAATGCAGTTTCTTAACAATAAGAATATCCTGCTTTTGACTTAGAGAGAGTAAAATTATTCATACTTAGGTGTGGCTTTATTGCACATACAGCAGTGCATTAAAGGGGCAGTTAAGAAACTGCTGGCTTAACTATATCTACAGCAGTATATTTTATTTCCTATGTATCTCTACTTAGTGCCTGAATGATTCTGCTTTATTGTAGCTGTGATAGTCTGAGATGTTAGTTACCCTGTTTTGTAATCCACCTCTTTCCCCGTGGATGCAGCTGTTGCTTTGCCAGTGATTTTACTGTTCGTCTGACTTTGGAGCTCATATCCCAAAGTGATCCACCCCTAATGTGTTACTTGCTGTCCTAAACAATCTAATCTTGTGAAATTCTGCTACCACCAGCAGCCACTTTCAGATTTGTTGTACCAATTTGTTCTTCTTTTTATTATGAAGCAGCTTAAAAAAGAGTCAGTTTGTTGAAATGTGTACACTTAAGAGGACGCTGTCAATATAAAATTGTATTCACAGTTTGTTATTAAATGTGGATCTTTGGCATACTACTTGTTGCATTTCTCTGTTTAAATGAGAACATTGAGCAAAATTTTATTTTATATGTGAATTATGAATTTTTGGAAGGCAAAGAACTTCATGGGAGGGGGGGAAAATATAAATATATGAGTATTTCAGACTTCAGTATGCTGTGCTTGTGTTGAACACTGCATATGTGATTCTTGGAGTCTATGAGCAGAGGAACAAGTTAGTGAGAAATAACATCAAGGGTGAACTGTCCACATGGAGTAAGGAGAGACAGAACTGTGCCTGTTGTTATGCAAGGGCACACATATGGTGCACCACAAAGTTCACTTACCAGCTCAGACTTGTGGCAGCATGTTTATTGACCTGGACCTTTGTAATTATGTTTGCTTACAGCTTTCTAGGGACCAAGTGCCTTCTGCTTTGTTCCTAGTTCCATCCTACTGCTGGACTCTTCAGGGAAACATCCACTCTAGCCAGACTTTTGTTACCAGACCCTGGCTGTCCTATTTCTCTAGGTGGGATGGTGTTTGAGAACTGCTTTTGTGTTTAAGATTTTCAGCATTGTCCTCTTCTTCTGTTTGTAAAAAGGGTAAAATAGAGAGGAGTTTGGTAAGTTTTCATCATAAAAAATTGGACTGAAAAAGAGAAAAGGTTACAGTCTCCTTCTCCTTAGTGGGATTAGTGGGAAAGACACTGTGGAAGAGGCCACAGAGCACACACTGATCTAGTTTTCAGATGACTGGTTCCTTTATTATTGGACTGTAAAATTGATTATGAAGTTAGCTGTTTTTCTAAAACAAAAATCCAAACAAATCCAAAGGTTCTTTTTCCAAATAGAAATAAAAATTGCAAAAATGTATGGGCATCAACCTCTCAACACATTCATCTTCAGTCCAGTAGAGTAATCTTGCTTCAGGGATATTGTTTTAAGTATAACTTGCATATTTCCTAAGTTTTCTGTAAGCCTTCCTGCATTTTTATGTCATTCAATTAAACTTCATTTTCTGATTAACTGATTATTTCTCACTTTTTGTTATTTATTTTTGTTTTCAGGCTTCCTTAAGCCAGACTCAATATCGATAGAATGAAAAAATTTAAGAGAAGACTTTCCTTAACCTTGCGAGGAAGCCAGACCATCGATGAATCGCTGTCTGAGCTAGCAGAACAAATGACAATTGAAGAAAACAGCAGCAAAGATAACGGTAAGCATGTCTTTTACTTTGTAGAAAATGTAAGAATTTTGTCAGACCCTATTCAAGTGAGCATTGCTGGGGTTTATTTAAATTTTCACAGTTGCAGGGATTTTCTCTCTAACCTTTTTTTTTCTTATATTCCACTACCCTAGTTCTTTCAACAGGTTGATATGGTATTACACACTGGTTTGGTTTGCTTTGGTATTGAACTGTTGTACAGCTATTTATCAAAAGCTACCTAAATTTACCTTTTTATGTCGTGTGCACCAAGGCTTATAGATGCTCTTGCAGTATATTGAAATCCATTGTATGGGTTTGGTGGGTCTCACATCAGCTTCATATGGCTTCAAATTCAGTCTGTTCTCAAAATCATTATTTAGTAATATGATTGACTAATTGCTTAAGCACACCGTATAAAACTGTTTACCTTACATTGGTGATGCAGTGCAGTAGTCTAAATTCTGTCATCTCTTCATGTCTCTCAGGAGTACTTCTCTTCACCACTATGAAGGTGACTAGAAACATTCAGGATAACCAGCTTGTCTCTGTATTCTTACATAAGTCTTTGGCTGATCCCATAGATGTGTTGGCTGCTGTAAAGTCCCCATTAGTGATGATGCCGCTTTTGGACGCAATCTGCAGTCATAATGACTGGAAGAGGTTTTGTTGCTTGTTCTGCTTCCCGGGCTGCAGCATTTAAGTCATTTTTCATCTTCAATGCTGATTGGTGTTATTTTTTGCTTTGCTGCTATCTAAGATATTTTTCATTTATCAAAAGATCTGAATTTTATTTTTGCCCCACTTCACAACAATAAAGGATTCTGAGTTTTCCCATTGAAAACTGACAGGGCCAGGAAATTTGAGTAGAGGTAGAGACAATGGAATTTGCCCTGCAGATTTTTAAAACTCTGTTCAAGATACATTGCATAACAAGATTTTGGAAGCAGAATTTACCTTTGGCAAAACAAAGCTAATAAGGTTTTTCATTTTTACCTTTAATCCCTGGTATATTCATTGCTGTTGTCCTGTTTTTAATATGGGCCATGCCCAGTATTTTGGGAGACAATGTTTATTACAACTTTTTATATGTTGATATAGCAGGTCTATTCTGCAGCAACAATTGCAGTATTTTTGCACTGATATCTGTTAAGTCGTTTTTGAGACACTGAGTTTGTCCCACATGATTTCGCTTGTATTCGCCTTTGTTACTGATGCATATTTTTTCAGACCTGTATATACTTCTGCAAGATTGATTTCATTATGTTATTAAGTGCAAAGAATGTTACTTTCACGCTGAGAAATGAGCATGAAAAAATTGTTACCAGCATCAATGAGTGTACTGAACTGGGTTGCTGAATTGATTCATTGAAACTGAATCCAGGGAGAATAAAAAGATTTTACCTTAAACTGGACCATGTGCTGGGTGTCAGCTCGAGGGACAGAGAACACAATAACCTGTTTACAGAAGCATGAGCTTATGCCATCTTAAGCCATCTATAAAACCATTTGCAGCTTGTAATATTTATCTGAGAATAATCCCAGACAGTAAAACTTGGATGTCTGCATGCTTGTCACCAAACTGTGACGAGCTCATCTTGTCAGTAGATATTTAAAGTGTCAAAATAAGTAAAAAATACAATTCAAGAAAATGTTCCTAATTGCAAATTATTTATCTAGCTTTTAGTGCTCTTTTTATTTTACTTTCCATGGTAATTCATTGGCCAAAGGGATTCTTGCATATTAAAATTGTAATAATGACATATGCTATGTTTATACCTGCAGAACATTGTTTATGCCTTAGTACAGTCTTCTTGGATGCACTCAAGGTGTTGTAGAACCTCTTGAAAGAAGACAAAGAATATAAACTGTACTTTGCTGTGCCTAATCTTTAACTCATCACTTCATGTCATTAAAAAAAGTTTTACTGACACTTGCTACCTTTTCTCAGATTCTTCCAGAAAGCAGTTATTAGTACTTGTGCTATCTTTGATCTTGCAGATGTGAACAGGATACTACATTGTGGATTTTTGTTTTCCTTTGTTTTTCCTTTCTGACCCTACTTTTCTTAGAAAGAAGGGTTGGAAAATGCTTGCTGCTCTAGCTAGTCTTGCTTTTTTAAAGGATGCTCTAGCTTTCCCACAGATGAAGATATTTTGGAAAGAGTATTTTTCAGACAGACCACAGGGATTGGGCTTTGGGTAATGATTGTTGAAAAAACAGACAAGAAATGATTTTTCTCTTCTGGTGAAAGACCAGTTTAGTAAAAAACATTGCCTGGAAAAAATCCTTCAGTGGGCATTTAAAAAAAATTGCTTACAAAGGAGTGCTTTAAGAGAAAGGTTTTCCTTGGCATCTTACAAAATCATAGTGCTAAAAAGCCTGCACTAATTGTAAATATCCAACTGAGACACATGAGAGGATGTAGTCTCTTGAAGAATATTTTAAAGTGATAGCTGCAATAAGATCTTGAAAGTACATCCTTTACTGTGGCGGTGCTGATCTCAGGAGGCAGGAGTAACCATCTCCTTAGTTCTGCATTTAAGAATAAACAGCTTCTTTACCCTGTGGAACAGAGAAACAAATGTGCCCAGTTAAAAGGCTTTGAATCTGTTCCTGAAGAAACTTAAAAGCAATGTCTAGTAAATCAAAGGCATGCCAGTATATTAATCTACAGAGATTTAGAGTCAGGGATACAAATAATCTTCAGAAAGCGGTTCTTCACATGTCCTTTATTTTCAAGCATTACATCATGAACTTGGGAAATAAGAGTTGAAGGGGATTGAAACTGTACATTTTGGGTCAGAAGGCAAGACTAGACCCTGAATGCTGAAGGCCTTTTAAGCAAAATTTAATTCCATTGTTATTGTCCAATTCTTTTGTTTTAACTTTTTCTTTCTAGTAAATCACTCATCTTGTCTCCTGTCATTCCATGCTGATGGCTGTGTTCAATGAGGGTTATAATTTTATACATGCTAGTTTTTTTCCTTCCTGGGAAACAGCTGTGTTTACTGGGTTATGGAGATTGTAGAGACTGTGTCCATAGAAAACCACATCTGTGCTGACCTAGAATCCAGACTTATCTCCATCTGATTTATATCCTGTGAAATACTTATATATATAAATATTTATACAAATATGTATATAGACATACAGAGATATATTCTGTAAAAATCTTTATTATAAATTGCAGTTCAGCACTGCCATTCCAGATGTAGGTCTCTTGTACATAGTATTAGGGACCTTTCCTTATGGTCACCTGTTTGCAATAACCTGTGTTGTTCAGCCCCCCTGCCAAGTGTTTTTTTCTCCCAAAAAATTGCCTGTGATTTCAAGTTAACTGCAGCTCCCATCCAGAGGCCCACCTTGCCATTAGCTCCAGCTTTGAGTGGGTTGTTTCAAGATTCAAAGAACAGTACTCCTAATGTAGAACAAATTGTCCCATTTGTAGTTCACAGCCACAAAAATAGATCCATAACTTTTGATTTCTTTGCAGTGCATTGGTACCACTGAATCAGCTCCCCTTTTGTATGCAGTCTCATTTAATACACAGCCTCCTTCATCGTGTGATGTCAGTACGATCTCAGTATGCATCACTCATCCATGAGCAGCAAAATGGGATTAGCAGGGATCAACCCATATTGTTCAGTGCAGTGGCGCAGAGCTGTTGCACTGAATATAGAATAACCATTGGCCTTGGGTTTTTTGGAACACCATCAAATTATTAAGTGACCAGAAACCTATATATAATTTAATCTTTCATACAAATTATGTTCACCATAATTGGCTTCTGGGTGAGGAAGCACTGCCAAATCAGGTCATAAACCATAAAAATAGAGGGACCAGTGAAATACCTAATAATATATCTGAAGCCTTATGAACTGTGGACTGTATGAAGTATACTTCGGGCTAGTCTTTCATCTAAGGACAAAAGCTTTTCTTGGTCTCTGGTGTTTCAACATATAAAACCAATTAGGTGGATTTGTTGTTTATTTTTAATTTTTCATACTAACAATGCTTGCTTTTTTTATTCTAGATTTTACCTTAATATATGTATTTTGATTAATATTAACAATATAAAATGGTAATTTGTAGGAGTTGATAACTAAATTTGCCCATGAAATTTTTCTTTGGCAATGACATACTAATGAAATCTGGCTAGAAGTGACATCCAAATCATGCATATTTAATGCCTAATTAAGTGTAAAATTTATGCAAATACTTCAAACACATATAATCTCTAGTGAAAGCAAAAAATGTGGCTGTATTGTCTAATATTATGAAATGCACTATCACAAACTCCAAGCATGCTTTTAAGAATAATTGCAAGACACATTCCAAAATACAGCCACAGCTCTTGCATTAATTTATAAGTAACTGGGAAAGCCTTCTGTTTTGTTGGGGTTTTTGGTACAGATAAATACACGTGTACATAGTAAACAAAAAAAGGTGTCATTCTGATAGAAATGGCTACATGAATTTGTAAAATAATACTTTTCTCCATTTGGTCTCTTTTAGCTCAGTGATGTGATCATAGGATCCAGTCTCATGAACACTTGCATAATTTTTTTGTAATTTTACAGGTGTGAGTAATAATGGAAGGATCAGCTACGGTAAAGTGCGTAAGTGTTTTTTAGGTTTAAGGCATTAATGGCTAGTTAATACTCGGATAAGAGGGATGAATGTTTTTACAAATTAACACATCGCGATACTGTCTCAGAACATCCAAACGCCTTTGTAGTTTTAATCATTTCATGTCATCTTCAACAGAGCTGAGAAATTCCCATTCCATCTGCTATGTGACATTCCTTGAGTGTGGAAGGAAAACAGTGTGTTGCAACATATTTTCAAGACAGTGTTCTTGAATTGAAAATATGAGCACAGAAATGCTTACTGGTAATAAATTGGTACAATTTCTCTGTTGATGTTGGAGGAAAGTATCAGTATGAAGATGTGGGTGGGTAGAGGGAGAAGAAATCCCCAGAACTGCTAGAACTCATTCTAGAGCTACAGATTACTGTGAGTAATTGGTAGCTGTCGCAGCTCAACGCTGATCTTTGTACTGTCCCTTACACTGTACTGGCAATGTTTTTATTATAGTCTGTATGTACCCTTCTGTGCTGTGGTCTGCATCCTTTTTTGTTATTACTGTTCAGTACGGTTTCTCCATCCCACGTATGCTGCACAACATAGTGTTCTTTCTTCCCTTCTGTTTTAATTTGCTTCTTCCCACAATACCTAGAGGCTCTGTTCATATGTGGAAGTGCTTATAAAGTGAAATGAGCATGAAAATTCAGTGCCTGAAAGCATGCTGCAGAGACCCATAGTCTTGGAGGGCTGTGTGGGGGCTTTGTCCACTCATAAGTGTTTCCTTAGAAGTAGAGTACAAGTTTGGCAGGGAACATAATGTTTAGATGCAGAAGTGGACTCTCTTAATACTCCAGATTTTTGTTAGTGTAGGCTCACTGATGAATTATGCAGAGATGCTTTTCAAATGGTATTCAGGTGGAGTCGTTAAGTATAGAAAAGTAAAATACACATAAGTAGCCAACACTGTTTCTGAAAGTAGGACAAAAAGGAGCCAGATCTTCTTTTCTCTGGTTTGGTTGGCAGCCTGGTCTCACAGATGTTTGCATTGGGAGTTGTCTGTGTGAATGCAAGGATAGAGGCCAGGGATACTTGTATCTTGGCTGTGGTATTGACATGCATTGAATTAAATTGTAGCTGAAGTATTTTTTCTGAAGGTTTTGGTGTAGCGTGATGCCTTTTGCTGTTACGGTTTTAAACTGATGGTGTGTTATGCTTAATATGATTTGAGGTACAGAACTACCATGCTTATGTTCCAGTATAGGTTCTGATGACCAAAAATATTATCTGAGAATTATCTTCTGAGCAGTAAATAAATAAGTCTTAAAGGCAGGGTTTTGGTTTTCAATATATTTCATTTGATTGTGATCTTTATTTTTTTCATATCCAGAAGGCAAAACCTCACTCTGCATGAAATAACTTTGAAAGGTTTTCTATAGTGTTTTTTAGATGTCTTGATCTCATTCTTTGCCTTGTGTATTTGTAGTTTGTTTTTGTCGTTAAGACAGGAAAAAATCTGTCCTTTCTGTCCTAAATTAAAAAAAAAGTTATATAGGACTTTACACTGCATTTTAATTAAAACTGCATTTTAATAATTGAGGTACTTCATTTCTCAGAGGAGGTTGACAACTGTGTTTCTTCAGGGTTATATTAGCATATTTTTTCAAATGTTTTACCAGTATTTTTTGCCTTGTGTTGTGCAGGTGAGGAACATTTGCTCTGGAATGACTGCTGTACTCAAATGGATTAATTTGAGCAATGGGAGTAATCCCTTGAAGTTTTGCCAAATTTTTAAAATTGTGATATTCAGTAGTTTGAGGATTTCATCTTATTGTTTAATGAAAAACACTGGTTTAAATGGTATTGAGTGGTTGTTCTGTTTTTAGAGTGACTCAGTGTTTTCCTGGGTATCACATAACAGAATCCAAGGAAACAAACCCATAAAATAATCTATAAATACAGAGTATTTTGTAGTGTTCCTCATCCAGCTCCTGGAGAGTACATCTATAGCAAGCGTATTGCTGCTTTGGGTTATTTAAATGTATCTATGGAAGCTGTCACCTGCAATCAACTAATTTTACTGAGTGGGTCTGACTGCCTTACAGCAGTGTAATTAAAATTTACACAGTGCAGCATGCCAATTCTATAATATCAGAAATTCACCTGCTTACATTCTAGATTTTTTGAAGAAAAAAAGGGCTTCTTGACAACAGCTTCTTTAGCAGTTTGTTCAAAATATTTTATATTTCAAGTAAAAAAAAAATCAGGTTTTGTTATGTAAAAACTGAATAATCATTAGCAGAGCCTAACATTCAGATCAGGTAAATGAATGTGTAGTAGATGGTGCTGAAATATGAGTAAGTTACATGACAGTTGCGTTTGAGAAGCCTACATAAATAGTTTTAAAATGTTGTGATGATGCAGTGTAAGTTTCATGAATGCAAAGCTGTTCAGAGAATGAATATTTAATTTCACAAATGTAGATTTTTGACACTTTTCCATTCTCCATAAATTGGAAATGATAAAAAAAACCTTGGAAGTTTTCTGGAGCAAGGGTGAGGTCAAGGTGATGGAAAAGAAACTGCATTGAATCCTGTCCTATAAAATCCAGTAGTGGATTCTCGAGACACTTAGTGAGATTTTCTTACACTTGAGCCAGTCCAAAGTCAAGTTGCAGCTTTAAGTGTCAAGTGAGGTTCTGCCTCCATCCTTCTGCCAGCAGCTGTGCTCTGTATACCCCATAGTGATCTAGTTCAAAAACCTAAACCAAAATTACATTACTTTCTTGTTGGGAGGCAGGGGGAAGAACCTTAAGCCACATTTTTGGTAGAAGCAATGAATTGTGGCAGTCACAAAGATTCATCCTTACTTAGAGTATGGGACATGCCTGGATTCAATCCCCATTCTATACCCAAATCAGTAATCATAAATGCTAAGTCTTCAGTATCTCTTACTTTGATTAGAAAATCTCCACATGTGTATTTTAACTTTATTTATATGAATTTAAAATACGTATTTATATGGTTTACATGTCCAGAATGGATAGTGATTGTGGAATCAAACATTTTTTTGCAGACATACTCATCTCTGTCAGAGATGTTTGATTTAAGGGAAAATGTCACCTTTTATGGCTGGTGATTTAATTATTTATTAAAGCTAGTTGAAGAAAATACCATTGCAAAATTCAGGCAGTGAAATCTGAAAAACAGCTTGGTCTCTTTGTGACATAATAGTGATACTCATGGGACATAAAAAAAGAAAGACTTAGTTGAGTATGTGATAATATATATTCATAAAAAGTGTTTTAAAATGCATTTACATTCCTAATGAAAACACTTTCTCTCTTTAATCCACCAGCTGACTGACGTGTGACAATATGTCAGTTGCTGAGGCTGTGCAAAGAAATGCCAGCAGTTCTGCAGGGTCTCTGGAGCTCAGCTTAAGTAAATCCAGTTAAGTAAATCCAGCACAGGAAAGAAAGTGGTAGTGTGGGTTTTTGTTATCATAGATGGATGAGGAAAAGAAACATTGTGGATTCATTGAAAAATTGCTTAACTCAGGAATAATTTCAGGTCAAGGTTTTTGGTTAATTTAAATTGTAGTTAAAGGAAGAAGACAAGGCATCTTTATAAAATTGTTTGGTTTAGTTAACTCCTTGGACAGGTTTCTTGGTTATATACACTGCTGTTCTACTTGACTCTGCCAGTTTTCATAATTATGAAGTAAAAAAAAATCTCTTCCACTTACGTTCAAACATATATTTATGCCACTTCGCAATTGATTTGTTTCAGTGGTTCATTTGAGTTGTTTTCTGGTTTTGTATGTTTGGTGGCATTGTTGTTGGCTTTATTTAAAAAGGAAAGCAGTGGTACCTCATTTGGTACAATGTTTTCTTAAAATAGGTGTGTGTATTCCAAAACATTTCATGATCTAGCAACTCTTCAACCATTATTAAGCCAGACTGATTGTATTTTGAGCAGCATTTTCTTTGAACAGTGCTGTTGGATTTATTTTGGGTTATGGCAACAGCGATGGAGGTTTGAACGACAGAATGTGAGAAGTACAAGAAAATGATCCAAATTATATAAAGGGTTACTCAGCACTCACCAAACTTGAACATCAAGTAATACAACAGTGCACAGTCACCATGCATTGCTCAGTTTTAACCCTTGCTGAAGGTGCACACTTAAGCAAGATAACATGGACATGGTATTTAAAATAAGGGGGGGTGGTTTTTTATAGATATAAAACTAATATGCACATGTGGATGTTCTTTTTTAAAGGGTGTCTATTTGCAAGCATTGTTCAGGAACAATGAAAACTGTGTGGTCATCCTGTATGTTAGTATAGTTATAAGTACTCTCATTGAGAATGTTTTTTAACTTCTTTCAGATTGAAAGACTAGATTTGCATGATAGTTTAGTATGCTGCCTAAGAAATGAAAATGTTGAAATGGCATTGCTTGGAAGATGAGTCTAAGATTACATGATGTTGTAGCCAAAATAAGAAGAGAATATAAAAACAACTGATGAAATACAATATAAGAAGAACCACTGAAAAGTCTCTGTTTCAGCTTGTTTTCTATATCAGTTTGTTTTATTGGTTTGGAGCTACAGATTGTAGAGTAGGGTGAGGAAAGAGAGCTGGAGATAAATGGTTAATAAGACCCTTACTGGAATGGTTGTGCCAGCAACAGCCAACACAAGTAAATGCCCAGGTGCTGCAGAAGTCTTGTGCTGTAAGGACAGCTGGAGTTCTGCCTGTCTGTTCTCCAGTCTCTGAGGGTGGCATTTGAGGACAAGTACAAAGTACAGCATCGTTTCCCCAGTGTACTGTATCAGTTTCTAGCTCAGAGGCTCACTGAACTAGGCAAGTCTCTATGTGGTTAGTAACCCTGAGCAGATTGCTTGTTCAGTCTCCTTTTGACTCTTGCAAGTTTGGGTAGTTTTATCATCTTGTGGCAAGGAGTTTCCACAGAAGAATCATTTTGTGTGCAGTATGCAACCTGCCATGGCTGGCTTTTTCACTCTTGTGCTGAAGGAGGTGGTGGATGCAGCAGATTCCCAGGTGCCCTCTTCAGCCCTTCAGTGAGTCTGTGGGTTGTGTCATGCTTCTGTTTTTGTAATCTACATGAGAGAGGAATACCAGATGTGTGCATGATCTCAAAATGCAGTAGATCCACACAGTGAATTTTTTAGTGGTTTTTTACTGACCTTTTAATTTCCACCATTCATTTAGCCTGTAGCTGAGTATTGAACCAACAGCAGCACATGGCTACTGAGTTATATTTACCAAGTACAGTGACACTAAAGTAAGGTATGTTTATGAGTTTTATATAGGGGAAACATTTTTTAAAGACTAATCAAACCTATAATCACAGAAATAAAATTATAAGCAGTTTTTGTAGATATATGTAGTAAAGGCATATAACTTCTACAGTTTAGACACATTTTATTCAAGGCCAGACACTTCACTAAACTTGCATCTTAGAACTGCCATGTTGTACTTTAAATATAGTGATTCAACATATTAATAATTCTGAAGAAAATTGATGTGAATTAAATTAAAATGTAACTTCAGAAGAAGCACTTGTGAGACTTTGGAGAGAGAGGGAGTTGAGTAGTTTTTTCAAAAGCACTTTTTTAAACTCTTGTATCTCCTAAATGCATGAAAACTGTAATAAGCAGTCTTGTAAATTAATTTCCAGCAAAGGTTTGCTTAATTTTTTTCAATATTTGCTCCAGTTCTTGGCTGTTACTGTCACATTTGCAGGGAGGAGGCAACATAATGATAATGCAGAATTCATGCAACTGTTTCTTCAGAAGCTCCTAGCATACAACAATGCACACTGAATTGTTTATAACAAATATACTTTCCAAAATGCAAGCCCACATGTTATACCATCATATGCTGTACAATCCCTCCTTTTTTGTAAATTAACATGTATCAGGATTTTAAACCCCCTCTTATAAACAAGTAGTATTAGTACTTGTCTTAGTCAGAAATACAGTGTCATGTGAGTGTTTCTGTAACCTTCACTTCATTGTCTGCCAGTAGTTATGCCTGTCCTACTATTTGACCTAAATTATTGTTGCAAAGTTTTATAATGGGCTCCACAATTTAGTACAGTACTTAAGACAGTAAAGGAAAGTAATAGTTTCCTATGATGACAAAAGTTATTTCTGTATAATTGGATCTTATCATATCAACCATTTATCTTTCATTTTAATATAAATTTATTTGTTTATATGATGTGTATTTATCCTTATATTTGAGCTGAACTTTGCATATGTTAGGATATATATTTAGGAATTTTGTTTTTAACTGTAAAATACATACAAATTTACCAGTGCCATGAGGAAAACAGACTTTTTCAATCATCTCTGTGCATCACACTGTCATGTTAGTAATGGACATAAAACTCCATCTCTAGGCAGACATTCAATGTATTCGTAAATTCTGGCCTCTTTCGCACAGTTCATGAAGGTAGATTGCTTTTAGCATGAGTAGACAAAAGCCATAACATACAAGGAACTATTCATTTGTTCACCACTGCATCTAAACTCAGTGTGAGGTGTTTAGACTAGAAACTTAATCAAATTCAAATTAAATTAGCGAGAAAGTTGGAAAGCCAAAAGGAAATGTTAACTTACCAAAAGCAGCAGTTGTGCTGAATGTGAGCCTGTGTCCTGTCATGTGGACATAGTTACAGATTCTATTGAAAATTGATGGGGAATTTGCTGCCTGCTGCCCTAGGATAAATCTGCTGTTAAAGGCATGCAACAATGAAGCTGGTTCCACTCTTAAGTCAAAAGGGTGATGCAAGTGCTTAGAACAGAAATGAGCATTTGGGACAGAGATATGCAGGGGTTTGAAGACCCTGACCATGCTTTACAAACGTATACACAGATGTATGGTGTATTTTTCCTCATGTTCAGCCACTCCAACACTGTGTTTATGAAGGATGCTAATGAAAGGATGCAGGCAGGTTTGTAACAGTGCTGACATGTCCTTTCTGATTTTGGTCTGCAGCATATTTTTTCCCCCAGGGGTTTTATTTTTTTCCCTGCAGCAGATGAGTTAATGTTTTTTGTCTTTTTTTGTCTCACTGTGTTGTTCATGTTTATATGCAAAAATTCCTTGTATAGTTATTTCTTAGGGTCATTGACCTGTCCTTGGGTAATTCTGTCTGTGTACTCCTGTCTCTGCTTTAGACTAATCATAATAATGTATCTAGAAGGTTTTTGTATATGTGGGGAGAGAGGGTGTTCCCTTCAGGATCCTGTTTTCCTTAGGTTATTAGGCATTTGTTGCTCTTCCTTTCCTTTACCATTGAAATTCTGCTTTCCATAAAATATGTTCTCCTAGCTATATTATTCTTACTCCCCTTTTTTGGAAGGTAAAGGAAGATTTTGGGATCCCTGCATGTGGGTATATAAGGTGGAGTGATGAAATAGCATCCCAGCTGCTCCCTGTCCCAAGAGGCATGAGTGAAGCTCTGAGCACACCCTGGGAGCAGTGGCTCCAGTGGGTGCTGCTCCATTCAGTAACACTCACACTGTGGTTGCTCAGTGTGTGGCTGCTGCCTTCTCTGTCTTCTGAATAATACCAAACATGAATCTGTAATGTTAAAAAGAATCAAATAATGGAAAAACAAAATTGAATCTCAACTGTTCTTTGGGCATAGCTTCTGGTTTTTTTCCTAGTATAGGGAAAGTGCTTGCATGTAGCTGCCAGATGACTCTGATCTCATTTCTGAAGTGAGAGTATTTCATCTTTATTTTCTTGTATGAATGACTTCATTGGTGGCTCTGCTAAGTCCACTGTCATGGCAGTCAGTGCAAGTGGGCATCTGTTCTACTTCTTTTGGGGGTAAAAAAAAGCCTCATGTTTTCAGAGTTAGCCTGCTTCTAAGACCATGTCTATCCTTGAGGGCTATTCCATGTGTGAGGAGTCAGGTTGCTGAGGGAACATGAATACCCAGATACTGCTCACACTTGTAAATAAGATGTAAAAATTTCTAACACTTCATTCTTTTAGAAAGTGCTTATCAATGATAATAACTTTTTTAAAAAAAATCTCTGTGAACCATCTGAAACACAAACCAGTAGAAAGCCAAAATAAAAAATTGAATGCTTAATTTTTTTGATACCCTGGAAGTTAATAACTTTAATTATGGCATGACAGCTCTAGGAGCTATAGACAGGTATGGTTACTTCTAAAGATCTCCGATGGTAAGGCTTTGGTGTTAGTGACCCACAAGAATTTTGAGGGGGAGAATATTTTTGAAGGCTTATAGTTGAATTTGCTCATCACAGTTGATCTAACAGCTGTCCTGTTTAAAAGTAAAGATGAAGCATTGTGCAGTAAGACAGAAGAAAATAATTACACTGTTCTGGTTTTATTGACATTCTAAGACTGTATATTCAGGGCACTTACTTGTCCAGCAGCAGAGTGACAGGATTTAGTAAAATGAAGTTTGGGTAACACTTAATGCCATGTTTTGTACTTGTTTGTCAATGGAGAAATGGCCATAGTATGGTGGTCTGCTGTTAGCATGAAAGATAATTTTACCAGACTGGTGATTTCCTGTTTACTAACTCTTTTCTTCTCTCTTTTTTTTTCTTCTGGCATGTTCCTGACAATCCTCCTTACTTGTGGCAATGAATATTTTGATCCTTGTGAACTGTAGAGCCTATTGTGAAGAATGGCAGGCCTCCAACGTCTCACAGCATGCACTCATTTCTCCACCAGTACACGGGATCTTTCAAGAAGCCCCCTTTACGGAGACCACACAGCGTCATCGGGGGCAGCCTCGGCTCTTTCATGGCAATGCCCAGAAATGGGAGCAGATTAGGTAATTTCCTGCATTGTTTGTTTCAAATAATTTTTCTGTGAAAAATAATGTTGGTATTGATTCATAGCAAGAGGTACAGATACTCTTACTGCTTTAATAAATCTCTGAGTATGCAGTAATTTTTTCTGGAGTTTGAGAAATTTGTTCTTAAGGCACTGAATGTCTGTTAAGATTTTCAGGAAGAAAGCAATTAGAAGAGCACGCAGAAAACACCCCTGAATTTTTTACAACTTTAGAAGTTGCAAAAGTATCAAAATATTCTTTCCTAATACTTTGAAAGGAACCCATGTATCCACCTCAGTTAGGCATTGGCAAGAAGTACAAAAATGTACTATGAAAAAAACCAGAGGATAATCATCCTATATGTGGAATTTTAAAAGAACTGCTGTATTACATCTCATTATTCTAGAGAAAAAAATGTTTATTTCAGTGACAAATTCAGGCAACTCAGTTATAATTACCTTTTTGTTGTGGTCCTGAGCTATTTGTGCTTCTGTGAAGCAAATAAGTTATGAATTTTTTTTTTTCTTCAAGTGATTTGTCATGTTGGTGCCTCCAGTCACCATTAATGTTTTATCCTGTTTTTATGTTATTTTAAACTATGCTTAATTAATTGATAATAGAAAATGAGAGCAAGTCACAGCTTAATTAGAGTTTTTATTATTTTGCAATCTCCTGCCCTTCTTTAGAAGTGTGATAAACTGATGTTTGAGATTAAGCTAAGAATTTTCAAGATAGTAGTCAAACCACTTATATCCTCCTTTGGTGTAATACCACTCATCATGTTCAAAAAAATCCCTTTTTACTGCTTGAGTTACCATTCCAACTGAAAAAAGATGTATATCCTTTTGACTTTACTCTAGCAGCTGCTGTTATCACACAAGAAAATGGGTTTTAGTGTGCATGGTTTGACTACTCTATCAGTTTCTGATTTCACTCAAGTCCTGTAAACAGTATTTGGTTTTTCATTTTTGCCAAACCAATAATTAAGTTGCCAAGAATTTAACAGAAAGAGAGAGTTTTTTTTAAAAAATTGTGTAGTTAGAGGAATCTGGTTTTATCTGAATATGTAGTCTTTATGGATTATTTGTCAAACTGGATACATGTAAACTAAGTACAGGAGCAGCAAAGATGTGTTTGAGTACAGAGGTGCCTGTACGCTCTCACTTGGGTTGCCCTTAACAAGAATTTCTAATTTTTTTAAGTGGTATGGAATAGATGTATGTACAGAGCGTATCATGGAATCCCAGAATGGTTTGGGTTGGAAGGGACCTCAAAGGATCACCGAGTTCCAACCTCTCTGCTGTGGGCAGGGACACTTTCCACTGGGCCTGGTTGCTCAGTATGTCTATGTTAAACACATCTTTTTGCTTTGGATATGATAATGCCTTTTTTAAAACTCCTTATTTGGTGGAAATACAAGCTACTTGTGCATGTTATCTAGCGGTAAAAAACAGAAGTACAGGTATATGCAATCATAATTCCTCTTTCTGCTCCTTTTTCACATCTTTCTTTATTTTGTTCCTGCCATATGAGAATGGCTATAACTCATCAGGAAGCTGAGGTTTTTTCTATTGGGATAATGGCATCAGAAACAAAATAGTCAAATATGCTACACTGCATGAGACTTTGCTTTCTTCATCCGCCTTCTTTTCTTTACAGTTTTTCCTCTATTTTGTAGGTAGAAAAGTGCTATCAGAAAGGTATCCTTGAAATGCAAAATCATGTGAGGTAAAAGATGGTTATTTCATTAAAGAAAACCGGATTGAGACCTGCCACAAGTGCATCTTCATGTTGCCCATGTTTGAATGAGATTATCACTATAAAAATTGGTTGAGAAGCCCAGGAGGATTTTGGAGTTTCATTTGCTTTTTGAGCGTTGAACTTGAGTTTCTGCAGTTGCAATAATGTGTAAAATGCCAAAATACTTTAAAAATAATTTCTACTTGGAAATTCTCTGTTAGCTTTATATTTTGTAAAATGCTGTGTAAAGGAAAAATTTTTGAGCTATGCCTTTTTAAGAAAATTTTTTAGCAATTTTAAACTTCAGTATTTAGTTACCAGAATGATTTTAAATAATAAAAGTGATTTTTGGACCAGATTGTGAAACTATTGAATGAGGGTTTAACTGATAGATTCTTTTAGTTCAGTTACATCTGTTCAGCTTCTACAGTCTTGTACCTCTGGAAACATTTAGCTGCTGCAGTCCATGATGAAGCCAGAGGTAATAAACTTTTTTTGGACCTGACCTGGCTGAATGCAGAAGGAATCCAGCTGTCTTTGTTCCATATTTATATTAACATCACCTCTGGAGAGGCTCCTGGAATGTGCAGAGTTAACTGAAGTTGGCCCTGCTGGTGAACTGCAGTAACAGCCAGGAGAGAGTTAATCCTTCCTTTTGCCAGTTGTGTTGATACAGTTATGGAGAAGTTTTGTTTCATTTTGTCATAAATATTATTTGAAAGGAATGATGTTTCCATACAGCATTCCATAGTTCAGTAATGGTAATGGCAAAGGCAGTTTCTCACTATGGTCTTCCTCAATTTGAATTATCACTGAAATTAATCATACAGTGTAGCCACTTCATAGAAAAGTAAGCTTTGGAAAAGTGCACCGTGGAAGAAATCTGTTATGCAAGTCACACAATTATTTTTGTAATAATTTGAAGTAAGGTGGAAAGATCATGCAGTCTGACTCAGTACTAATTAGTGACTTTGATTATGGCTCACTTGGAGGAGTTCTCATTTGCTGCACCGCAGGTTCCCTGTATTAATTCCTTCTGTGGTGCGTTCCTCACAGCAGAAATGAGGACAGCCTTTTCCTTTAAATGTACTTCTGTAGTTTCCCTGTTATATTGTAGTCATCTGCACCTAGCTTTTCATTACATGGCCATTCTGGATATTTAATGAGATATGTGGAGTACATTAAAATAAATAATCTATGTAAGAGAATGGCTTGGTATTGCAGTGAGATCAATTCAATACATTATTGAATGATTAAAACCTCTGAAGACTATGCAAGCAAGCTTTCATGCAGGTAAACCTGTCTATAGAAAGGCTTAGAGAAATTAGGGAAATATTTTAATGGTTTTCATCATTGCTTATTTAAGCATCATTGTGCACCTGTGTAAAAATGATTAAAATGTCTGGGTTAATGCCTTAGTCTGGGGTTTATGCCATTAGAATAATGAACATAAGGCTCTACTATTGCCTTTTTAATTGAATCAAATAAAAGAATGCATTTATATCAAATGACAGTACAGTCAAGTTATTTTTAAAAAGCTTAAAATTATATCTGTTTAGAAAATAATTAAAACATCTGCAAACCCTTATAGATAGGAGTAGTTGGGTATTTAGCCTATTGGAAATGCATGTGCTTAATGATGCATTTTTGCTTGCTCCAGCCAGTATCCTGCATAAACGTTCTGGGTATGTAGCTTATCCAGACTTACCAGAATTAATCGTATCACAGTGGTATTCAAATCATCATCTTATATAAGTCTGAAATACTGCATTTTTAGACTTGACTGGTACAGACCCTCTTTGTCTTCACATTCCTGATTTACAAAGAACAGAATTTCCTTGCAGCTACATTATCTGTCCCAAGTATATGGGTTTGTGGTACTAGTTCTTGAAATAGTGCTTAGTTGTGTGTTATTACATAGGTGATCTTCTTAGTAGAAGAAGAATTATCTTTGTCAACTAGGGTGCTCTATGTAGTTCTGAGCATGGCATCTCCAATTCTCTTTTTTTACTTGTAAATTCATAATACAAATGCTTTTATGAATTAAATGTGACAAATATGACAGTATGAGTCCCATAATTACTTTATTTAAAGTATCAGTTTCTTTAAAAAAGAAATTATGTAATTGCACCATGGCTTAAAACACAGTACTACTTTAATTTTGTCCGTTTGATTTTGTGAGATTGCCAAGATAACTGTGCCTTGCCTAGCTTCCATGAAGACAGTAGACTTTGGGTCCCAACCAGTGGGCTTGTTTTAACATGGGGATAAACAGATTGGGGAACAATTGTCAGTAGCTGTTACACTTCATTTTGCTAACAGAATCTGAAGAGCTGTAATTGCTAAATTGGATTACATGACCTCTCAGAAAAGTATTTTAAAAGAGGGTTTTTAGTAAAGAAACAGTATGCTGAGTGTGCTATTATACCAGATATAACAGTGCTGGCATAACAGCTTTGCTGCAAGTATGTTTTAAATAATGCTTTTATATTAATAAAATTAATTTTCCACAGTTTGTTAGAGATTTTTAAAAATATAGCTGTCAAGTCACTACAGAGAAGACATTTCTTAGAGACTTAGCAGAAGAGAGTCACGTTTTTTCTGCTTAGCTTGAAAACTATGGCTGATCTTTAGGAACCACTTTCTGAAACTGTTTTCCTGTGGCTTGAATTGCCATGCTTTTAGAAGCACTGATAAGTATTTAGCTTGTTTGCAATCAAAAGATTGCTCATTGTATAAGGAGTGCAGGTTTTTGGGTTTTTTTTTCATTTATCTGAAAAATCTGAGCATGACTTACAGGGAAAATTCTTATTCAGTGTGGATTTTTAATAGAAAGACAATATAAATCTGCATCACTGCTGGAAAATTTGCTTTGTGCATGAGATGCATGCTTTGTTTGTGTTTAATTACAGTATTCTGAGTTAAAATATGTGTTGCTTATAACTTACAAATTAATCTTTCTTTTTATATCCATTCTGTTTTCCATAAAAGGAAATTGTTTGTTCCTTTGAAGTGTGCATGACTCTGTGTGAGCCAAGCTAGACAAATATTTTAGAAGATGTGCAGATAATGAAACATAGCCCTAGTGGTGCTCTTTTCCCCAGAAAATCCAATTTTCTTGGTTGTTGATGGTGGTAGAACTTGCAGTTTAGTTTCTCTTCTTGTTTTTGAGGGCTTTTTTAATTTGCTGTACTGCTTTGCAAATGTTAAATACTTCCAGGTGTGTTGGTGGTAAGGCTGAATTGATCTCTGTGTGTTTAGATAATACTATAATTTTTCAGAGATAGAGTTCTGAGATTTTTAGTTGTTCCTCAGGTTCTTCTACACCTTGTAGAAGATAATGATTTCTAAGAAGGATCAGGAGACAGCAGGGAAACTGGTGTCTTTTGAAGCACCTACTTTGTATATATAGGTACTTAATTTCTGGAGTAATTTTGGAGTTCAGGTATTTCAAAGTTGATGATGGAGCATTACTCATGGTGAATTACTTGTATGGCCACTTTCCCGTGTGCCCTTTTGCAAATCATTTGGCTCTTTATGCTGTAATGACACTGCCTTGATTTTCTTTTGTTCATTACAGTGTTTGTCTCCAAAGTCTGAAAAATCCTTTGGTTCTTAAAAGCAATGTATGTATGTATGTGTACATACCATATACATAAGCTTTTATGTGCAGGAATCTTAAGGATTGTGTAAAAATTAACAATTTCAGGTGACGCGAAGGTCCTGCATCACATAACTCAAGCAGTTAGGTAAATTCCTCCATAAGGTCACAAATTTCGCTTAATGGCTCTTAAAAGTCAGGTCTTCTACTGAATGCACTTTTATGTTGTGGACCTTGATTTAGATGGTTATAATACATCCCCTGACTTCACACATGGATGCCAGGGGATTTTCTATTTGAAGCTTCTGTATTTGCCATTTCTGAAAATACTACTATACCTCTTGCTAGGACTTTAAAGTTTCTGAAGGTATGTTTAGGTTACCAGCATTAGTTAGTCTGATTTGAAAATGTTAATTATTCTCAGCAACGTTGTATATGCAGAAGCAGCTAAAGGAGAAGTGGTACTGAGGAATTTTAGGAACTGCAGCTGGGAGGGGGAGTTAGCTTTTTTGGAATTACAGCTGGGATTGGAATGTCTGTCTTTCGTTTTGGACAACTGGGTTTTGCTGCAGTTCAAGAAAGTTTGCATAGACTTGCTATAAAGTAATCCTGTTCATTTTGTGGTTATTACTGAGTCATAAAAAGTATGTATCAAGACTGCCGTGGCTGTGATGAGTCTTTGACTCTGCTGTAACTCAATGCACAGTAATGATTCAATTATTTTCCATCTGTACAAAAGAGATATTTGAGGCATTGCTGTTTAACTATTTTCAATTATTTGGATTATTTTTAAGATATTGTTCATGAAAATTTGAAAATGGGATCGGATGGGGAAAGTGATCAAGCTTCTGGAACGTCATCTGATGAAGTTCAGTCTCCCACAGGAGTTTGTCTCAGAAACCGGATACACAGACGAATCTCAATGGAGGTAATTCACTTTTCATATAAGGATCATTTCAACTGACAAGAGAGTTGGGGGTTGCTTTAATTGTTTGTTGTAACTGGTTGTCTTTTCAATTAACTTTAACCAACCATTCTGCCATAAATTTCATGCAGAGAGCATTATTTTCATACTATTTAAATTTGTCTCCATTTATCACACAGAACAATGGTTATCTTGCACTGTTTATGAGCTGTTAATTTTGAAAATCTAAATATGTTTTGAAACCTGAATTTTTGGGAGGAATTTCTTAAGTGCATCATTTGAATAGTTTTTTGTTGCATTGTGTGCAATCCACTGAATGTATTCAAGAAGATACATGGTTTAGACATTTTTTACTTAACACTGTTTTGCTAGTCTTTGCAAAAGTAATGGTACAGCAGCAGCGATGATCTTGACTGCTTCAGCCTTTTCCTCTCTTCCTGTTTTTTTTCATGAACGGAACTTTACAGGATGGTAAACAAAAGGAGGAAAAGTACCTTATGAATAACTGTGCACATAATTTCCTTTATTTATGGCTCTCATTATGAATACTAGCCACCCTTGTGCTTGCTTTGTTGTCATTTCCCTTGGTGAACTAAAACAGAACACTTCCCTTTTTCTAGAGTGTATAAAAGTTGCAATTATAATGATGTCTTTGTTACAGAAAGATGTAGGATTTTGTAGTTGCTGTTTTTGGTATACATCGCAATAAGCATAGCTGTAAGATTTTGAATTTTCATTCAAGGTTCATATCAAATACTGGATTGAGAAACTGATTTGGATAAGTTACAGTAGAGTGTCCATGCCAAAAAAATTTTTTTGTGAGGCGTTCCGTTATGCTTGGAATTCCAAGGCTCCAAGCATATAGTGCAGATATGATTTCAAAAATGTGTGAATTAGTTGTATTAATTATTTAGATAGTTTCTTGCACCTGGGAGGTTTTGTATTCAAATTTTTAAATTTCTGTGTTATTTGATCTAAGACCTTTGTTTTCCTGGCTTTGCTTGCTGAAATTTACTTGGAGAGCAAAGGTGGGTTTACTGGTTTATGCAGGATACTTCAATTAAGGAAAAAAGTCATTGTGAAAACCTGCTTATCAGAATGTATGCTGGAGAAACTAAAAATCAAGGAAATTACTTAAAAGGATTATTTGCTTTTTGTTCATTGTCTGTTTCTTCTCCATTTTGAAATGCATATTTAGAACAGGAAAGAAAAAAGAAATTAATGATTCATAATGAAATTTACAAACTGAAATGGAAATCCATCAGGTCTTCCAGAGAGGGCTAAGAACCATTAAAGGATTCTCTTTTGTATTGGAATTCAAGAACTCCAAAAGAAATTAGTAAAGGTCTCAGGAATAGTAAAGGTCAGGAAATTCCTGTGTAATTTTTCAGAAGGCTTTTTTTTTTTTTCCAAGTAAAAGCATCTTTTCATTTGCCTCTTCAATTGTAAAACAATTCTAATATTACTGTTTAAGAGGTTTTAGGAAGCTTTTAACTTTTGTATATGCAATGCTGATTTTCTCATTTTCTACCAAATTCCAAATGCTTGCTTCTGACTGTTGAAATTAGCACTATTTCTTCATTGGCTTGCTCAGTCAATGAGAGAGAGAACAAATGGTTTTTTGGCATCTATTCATGTATATTCTGTAAGAATTGTAATGTTTCCCTCAAATCACCGTAGTATTGATACAGTGACTTTTCCTGTAAGATTCCATGCTGATGAGTGCAAACAGTCTCACTTCTGAATTTTAAGAATAAGAGATGCTTTTGGTGGACTTAAGTTTGCTTTTTAAAAGTACTTTGTAGCAGATTAAGTTGGACTTGTACCTGTTTGTGCATTCCAGAGGGAGGAAAATGCAACAATCTCATAGCTTTGGTTAAAATACCTTTCTAATGATAATCTTTTCAGTCAACTTTCTCATTTCCTAAGTGAAAAGGCTTTAAGTGATTACATTGTCTGCCTGTATTTTCCTCCTTCTATTTATCCCATGGGTCATTTTCTGTCAGTTTTGACAGATGGCTAGAAATCTCAGATTCTAATTCTCTATTAATTTCTGTGAAAAAAGCTTTGCATTGGGAGACATTGCTAATGTATCCACTGCTAGTTAAAAACCACAATATCCATGTATGAGTTCAGTTGCAAGGTATAAATCCACAGAAGACCCAGTTTTACTCATTTTGCTCCTTGTGGAATGGGATCACTTACTTCCTTGCCCTTTGGGGGAACCAAAGCAAGGTTTCTTTCCTCTTGTAAAAAGTTGTGTCTGTATGTCTTGTGGGATTTGTGCGGTGGAGCTGGCTGATTCAGTAGTAGCAATGTGATTATATAAAGAAAAAGAAGCAATCTATGTTGTGAAGTAAGTTTCTATTATTCAGTTTTATTTTGATGGCTGGCGGCGATCTGTTGTCTCCAGACATTGGGTAGCCTGAGGACATCCTCCCTTTATAGCCATTTAGGATGCATTATAGCTGTATGCTGTACATAACAGGCTGGAGTAAATTAGTACATGTGTGACAGAATGTTTTTGTGTAGTCTGCTGAGGTCGTTAGCTCCAGCTGAAATCCACTGTGGAAGGTATTTGATTAAACATACGCAGTTGGATAACGCGATAAAGCAGTATTCCTTGTTCCTCCTCACTAAGATGAATGTGCCTGTCACACTATGGCTGTATCCTTTCTTGTGCTTAGTTTGACCAATATTTGCTGTATTTATAGTGGTTTTGTACATAATTTCTTGGTTATATATGTTTGGCTCTTTCTGCTGAATTGACAGAAGTCCTAATTCATTTTGAAGGTAACTAATCAGATAAAGTTGAAACCTTGACATCCTTTTTAGTTACAGGAGTTTTGTATATATAACCAAATTTTTTATGCTCAGCTTGAACTTCCTCTAGGATTCTGAAAATTAGCAATCCAACCAGGTTTTATTAAATGCTTGCTAAAAATTGAATACTGTGCTCAAAGTGCTAATTAGCAAAAAAAAAAAAATTATTATTGCTGACACATTTTGTCCATTAGAATACAAGTTCTGATTTTTAGTGCCCATTCCCACTGCACTGCCCATCCTAAAAAATGCGTAGCTACAAATAAAATGTCAAAGAGCAGACGTATTCTCTGCTGCAGAATATATGAAAGATTCTGTTGGGAATTAAAATTGATCTTTCCAAAATTTTCATATAGAGAAATACAAAATAAACAGTGGAGAGAAATGAAAAACATATTTGTTAAGCAGAATCTCCATAGCAATTGAAAGTGGAAATTTCATAACCTTAACTTGTCCTGCTTTAGATAGGAAATCAGCATACTGCAATGTAACCTAAGTATGAAACATTATGAATATGAAGTGGTGGTAGTGAAATGAGACAGAGCCCTGCTCTGCAGTGAAAAGTCTGCTGGGGTGAAAACTTCCCATGCACAGTAGCAGCCATGGAAATACCAGCTTTCAGTCTGTAATATCCACCCCCCCATTCCCCCATCAGTTATAATTTGGGCCAGCATGACAGGGAGGTGATAATGTGGTTGCTTCTGAATTCAACAACGCTGCAGTTGTGGTTCGAGATTGGGTTTTTAATAATGATTGTTCCTTGTTATCATGTGCTTAGAAGACAAAGAGAAAATACCAGAGTCTCATTGTGTTGCCTAGATAAAGTTTATTTTGCTTGTAATCCACAGACTACAAATTGTCGGTAAAGCAGCTGCTTTTTCTTTTTCTTTCTCCTTCCTGTCGCTCGTTCAGGCAGGAACCATGCTGACAGTAGGTGTGAGCATCTATTGTGTGAAGAGTTTGGCTTCAAACAGCTGTTAGGTTTTAATTAAAATGACTTCTACTCTTCTGCTAATATGAATGATTATGTACTAAGTCAGTAGGACTGTTTATCAAACAAAATGGAGGGAATAATTTTTTTGAAGTGTCAGTGGTATAGCTTAAGAATGTCTACACGTATATCTCTATTTTAAGTGCAGGTGCTTTCGTCATGCAATATGAAACATTTCTCCAGATCATGGAACTATAGCTTAAAGCATTTTCAGTTTGATTTTGCTAGACAATAAGTAATGCATTAATATAAATAAAGAGGTAATGCATTAATATAAATTTATGTTATAAGCTGTAAGTGTTCATTGGGGGCCCTGTGCCTATGCAGTGGACAGTGAATTCATCATTAAGAGCTGTGGTGGATAAAAAATAAGGAGAAACAGTCTGTGCAAATTGAAACATCTGTTTCCCTTTCCCAGAAGTCCAAGGTCTGTTAGCTGTCTTAGCATGTGAACTGGCAGAGGGCCATAACCCACTGTTCACCAGCCTGTTTCCCAGATATTTTATCCTGAGAAACAGTTCTTATCCATCTGACTGTCACATTAGTGACAGAAGTGTGTTCCAGATCAGACTGCTCCTACCACATTGCTATAGGGGATAATTCTCCCCTGAGAGGATTAGCTGCACGGTTAGTACTTGTATCTGAACAGAAGGAAATACAAAGGCTACAAATTGATGCTGTAGGCAGGTGTGTGTTGTGATGGTCACCTTCCAAAAGTAAGAATGTAGATGAAAAACAAGGTTTTTTTGAGCTTTACTCTTACCAGGGTATAACTGCTTTGGGGGCCTTGACACACAGCCTGAGTAACTCAACATGTTCTTGGTCCACCTGGGCAAGTGTACCTTCTCCTAAGAAAAATACACAAAATTAATTGATATTTCAGCTGATAAAAGTGTTAAGAATTTGTTGATAGGCTTCAGATTAGAATGTGGTTTGTAGTTTTCCATTCTCATGCGCCAATAGGGCACTCTCAGCTCCATTCAGTTGTTTAAATGCTTGAACAGCAAGCTGGATGCAGTACTGACCCAGGCTTTTGGTCATGGGCAGTACAGTATTTTCTTCTGCCCTTAGTTTTGGAAGGAGGAAGCCACTTTATCTAAGATACCTAGGGCTGAATGCTCAGGCTCTCTTGCCATCCAGGTGGCTTCCTTGTGTACCAAGCAGACATTACTACTTGCAGCATTCTCTG